ACTCTGAGATTTGCTCATTAAGGTTGGTTAAAAAAAACAGTGTGCCTTCATTGAAAGCATTCGGAAAAGGCCATTAACTACTACAACATCTTGCAGTGAGATTCCTATAGCTACAGCTAGTGTTTCTCAAACTTTCTTCCCACAGTTCCCTATAGACTGATGCTAATCTTTAACGGTGCCCTTTATCACTCCCAGGGCAAAGAAGGGAAACCATCCACCGCTTTCCTCTGAGAAAGTAAAGAAAGAACAAAACGGTTCCCCATCTTCAGCCCAGGGGAGGTAAGAACCAAGACAAATGAAAGGTGTTGGATTAGCTTAGAGTTCTGGGCATAAGAAAGGACTAAAAAGCAAAGTAAGCATGTTTTTTTTCTTTTTTATCAAACCATTAATTAAAAAGAAAACCTGAATGGTATCAAAACTCTCCCAGCAAGAACAGGTAAGTGTAGCCAAGAAATGTTTGAAGCAGAAGCGGAACAAAGAGGAACTTGTCTACCGGATATTAAAAAATTATTCAACTTCCAATAATTTCAATGGGTGGTACTGGCATAAGAACAGAGAGAAAGATCAGTGGAACAGAATAAGAAGTCCAAAAACATACCCAGGAATTTTGAGTATGATGAAGATGGCATTTCATATTGGTAGGGAAATGGGAGCTTATTCAACAGATGCTGCTGAGACAATGTGCTGTTTGGGGGAAAAAATGAGATTGAGATGATTTCTACCCCTTCCAGAATTAGAGAAAAAAAAATGTTGCTTTTAAAAATCTCTCCAGGGCATTAACTTTCTGAGCTTGGGGCAGCGGGGGGGGGGGGGGGGGTAACCCTAAAATCAGAAAAGTAAAAACTGAACTACATGAATTCCTGTCTATCAAACTAAGAACAAAGAAAAAAATACGGAAATAATATGAACTGTGGCTAGTACCAAAAACACAGGGGTTCTGATGATCTGTTACTAACTGGCATAATAAATCCCTCTGGCGGAATCAAGGTACCATTTTGAAGTGAAATTACCGAGAATACAAATACTCTATAGATGAGTCAAAACCAATTTCTCTATGTATTTGCAGAACCCCAGCTACCCAGAACCCTCAGGCAATTTTAGCTTCAGACAGCTTCAGAGCTCCAGCACTGGAACCACCTCAAATGTTAATCTTTTCTCAATCTCTTCGTAAATTCATTACATTCATAAAGCTAAGGATACATCCACTTGTGTGTCTAAAAGCCTTCTTCAAACTTGTCCTGTGCAAAACCAGACCTGCTGACTCACCTCCTTCCCCACTCACACTTGTCTTTCAGGGCAAGACCTTAGAAGGCACTGTTGATTTTTCTTTGCCTCACCACTCACCAGCATTCCATCAGCACATCCTGACCTCCGCTCCAGCAGATCCCCTGGAATTCTCCATGACTCTCCATGGTGACTGTTACTACAGCCACCCTGTGCCACCCCCTGCCACCCCCACCTCCAGCCAGACCACCTCCTAAAATCTCCTTGCTTCCCTACAATCCAGTCTCCACACAATGGATAGAATTAACTTTTAGGACATAATGCCATCACCTCCCTTTCCTGTCTAAGCCCTCCAAAGGCTTTCTTACTCATCTAGGATAAAATTCCATGAGACCAGACATTATCGGGCCTCGTCCACTTTCTCTTATTGGCCTTCGTTTATTCCCTTCCAAGTTGGTTGCTGTCTGTAACTCACCAGCTCTTCCCTCTGCCCCCTCGCTCATCAATGATATTCATGCAACCAGTTCCTCACCATCAGACTGCCGCCCAAATACCAAGTTCTCTAGACACCACCCCACCGTTTCCCTACCCTGTTTTATTTTCTCCATAGTACCCATCATTAATTCTTTCAGTATCTTGCCTCCCACTAGAACACAAGCACCATGAGAACAAGCATCTTCACCGTTGTGTCCCTGACAGTCTGGACCCAGAGGAGCCATGTATGTATTTGTTGAACAAAGGGATGAATCTTAAGTGTAACAGTATTTTTATGAAGCAGGATCACTACTATGAACTTCACAGCTATGGTGTCTGCTCAGGCCTTTGCAAGAAGCTAGCCCTGCTCAGTCTCTGATCAGCTACGCTTTTTGAGTTTTGTTTTGCCTGCATTTTAAAATCTGTTTCCTGCATGCTATCAGCTGTCGCTGCACTAACATTCCTTGGTGGCTCCTCTCCCAATTTCAATCATTTGGCAGGTTAAGAAAATAAAAGTCTGCAATGATGGGGCTGTTCCAGCATTAAAATGCACTAACTTTAGTGCAGACAGGCCTATCTCATTGAATTTCCCAAAGGCTTTATAGCTCCTTTCTGGATCTCAGACAATTACTAGTCCCCAAACCTAAATTCTGACATTTTCAGTACCTTAGCATAAAAGTACACCATACCGCCATCTTACTAAAAATGCTGGCATCTCCTTAAACCCATAAAGCCAAACAGTAATTTTATTTAAAAAGAAAAAAAAAAACTAAACTAAAAAACGTTAAAGTTTTTCTTAAGGTAAAGAATGAATTTGCCTTCTAGGGGAGAAGTAAAACTGAGCACACCCAGTGCCAAACTGGAGTTCTACCTCGTGCTGTAAGATTCAAGCCGATTTTTATGCCAAACGGCGTGCAATTTCCATTTTAAGAGCTGAGTGTGGAGTTTCGGCCTGGGCTGCAAAGCACAGCACAGCCATAATCATAAGTTACACACTGTAACCTCCATCCCAATTCAGCCCTTCCCCAAAAGTTCCTTAAGACTAAAACCGTCTTGGGGCGCCTGGGTGGCTCAGTTGGTTAAGCGACTGCCTTCCAGCTCAGGTCATGATCCTGGAGTCCCAGGATCGAGTCCCGCATCAGGCTCCCTGCTCAGCAGGCAGTCTGCTTCTCCCTCTGATCCTCCTCCCTCTCATGCTCTCTATCTCTCATTCTTTCTATCTCAAATAAATAAATAAAATCTTAAAAAAAAAAAAAGACTAAAACCGTCTTGTGCCATCTCCTGCAAACGGTCTAAACAGAGGCTTGTCGGGCTGAGAAGCAGAGGATCTTAACGGAAAAGCTAAGTCCACCCCCAAGCTTCAAGTAATGGGACTTAAAGAGATAAAAGAGCTGCAGGAAAGCTGACAGAATGCCTGGATAGGATACACTGTTTCCACATAAGGGTTTTTCCCTTTATCAGAAAGACAGAGTTGTCACAAAGAAGAAAGAACTGGGGCCAGAGGACAAACTGTGTATCTACTTTCCATTAAGTGTCTAAAAGAAAATAAACAATGAGATAAAAATCCTACACCCAAAAAAGATGAAGCAGGAGATTTGGAAAAGGAGACCAAAAGTAAGAGTGTCAAGCATGGGCTTAGGGAAAAGATCATCTCCAAGTGTAAAAGAGTAGGTCCAGTTTGCATTACATTTTCTGAGTATTGCTGGTGTACCAGGACCCCTACTGGTTTGTGTATACGCATTCTGAACCCAAGAAAATATATGTTTGGTGGGCAATCTAGTATTTGTCCAAACTACTTTGAAAATTGTCTCCAAAGTTGTGATTTCACAGGGCTTGTCACCCAGTGGCAGTCAGGTGGACTTACTTTCAAAACCATTCTGTAAACAATTTATACAGCTCATCCCCAATTTCAGATGGAGCCATTTCTCTTGGCACAAAAGAACAATCTGCATAAAATTCCAGGTAAATCATGGGAGATCTGGGAGTAAATCTTCAGCTGGGGATCCCTCAATCACTAACACAGTCTAAATTTATAGTAAGTGGCTACATTCTAAGGTTTTCAGGTTCCTTCCTGGCAGAACCTGGACTCTGGACTTAAATAAGTTCCTCACAGAAACATGTAGGAATGGGGAGTCGATGCACTGAGAGTGCTGACATTCTTTATTGCTCTTTCGTCTTCTTTTTCAAGCCTGTACTTCCTCCCTTAGAGGAATAAAGATCCATAGAAGTTTTTCCCTTCATATTTAATGCCTGGACATTTACACCAGGACTAAATTTAAAAGCCGAAGTTTCAAAGGTACTGGTTATAAATTAAGAACCAACAGCAACCAGCTTGGCCTTGCTCAGCACTGACTGCTCTGCAAATTCCTTCTCAGAGGACCTCCCTGCATTGGTTTGTTCTGTGGCTGGATGAATCCCAAATCTTGTCCATACAGTAAGCATTTCTGTACTTCACACGTACAAGGTTCCATCCCTTTATTGGATTCACACCCTTCTACCTCAAATTCACTCCAATACAAATCTGCTATTCCAAAATGATCGCCCGTCTAAAGGTTGTTTTAGTTAATCCCTCTGTTAATCCTGAACATGATTCCAGCCACTTTTATGACTCATATGGCCAACCAGGACCCAGATACTGGATAACACACACACATCCCTAAGCTGAGCTAGTTAACCCCCAACCTACCATGGGCCAAGAACTACTTTTCCCAAGGTTCTCTTTCCATTAACTCAACAGACTGGTGGGGTCGAGCGTGTAGGGGGCATCCCCTTTCATTTACAAGAGTGCTTCTACCAGTGGTATCTGCAAGTATACTCTGGAAGGGCTCTGACCAGATTAATTTACCTTGGCTCTTGCTCTGCAAGAGCAAAGGTGCCTAGTTCAGAGAATCAAACGGTAACCATCCGTGCCACCACTGTCACAGATACCGTGTGCTAAGAGTTTTCCCAACAACCTTATGAGGGAGATATGTTCAGTCAGATCCACTTAACAAAGAAGAAGGCTTGGACATAGAAAGCTAAAGTGCCTTACACAAAGTCAGGCTGAGGACCACACCCACGGGAGCCAACCTGGTCCACCTGACCCCAAAGCCCATTCTCTTGGGCGTCGCATTCACCACCCCGCCTCTGACCTCTGCTTCCAATGTCTGACATCCATAGCCCAAGGGGCACCCCGATCCCACAGGAACCCCGGGAGCTTCGGGTCTGGAAAGCAGGCAAAGACTCAAGCCAAGGGAGTACCGGCAGGGCCGCCCGCCGGGATGCTGGATACAGGAGTCGGCGTCCAGGCAGCAGGGACTCACCTGTAAGCGGCCACGGCGCGGGTCTGCAGGTATTTCTGGGCGGTCATGACTCCCACGAAGAGAAAGTTCCTGTCGCGCGGGCCGCCATCCGAGGCCGGGCCGTGGGGCCAGAGGTGCGCCCCGCGCGCATCGCCGCGCGCCCCGCCGGCCTGGGAAGCCGCCGCCGCCGCCTGCCCTGGCCGGCAGCCCTCGGGGCTGGCGCGGCGCCGCGGGCCCGCTCGCTTCAGCTCCGAGGCGCGGGGCAGGACGAGCCGCGAGGCCAGCACGAAGCCCAGCACGAGCCCGAGCAGCACGCTGAGCCAGGCGCGCCGGCCGCGCGCGGCCATGCCCGTGCCGCTCCGCCCGCCGGGCCGCCGCCGCCGCCGCCGCCGCAGGCTCCGCGCGCCCTCAGCCCGCCGCCCCCGCCCGCGGAGGCCAGCCCGCCCTAGCGCCGCGAGGCCCGGCCCGGGCAGCGCCACGGCCGCCGCGGGCCCGCCGCGCCCATCGCGGCCCCCGAGCCGCCCGTAGGCCCCACGCCGCCGCTTTGTTCCGCACGCCCACCCCCACCGCCGCGGCCTGCGCCTTTAAGAGCGGACCATGCCCGGCGCGCGCCGGCGGCGGCTCGAGCGCGAGGCGGCGGCGGCTCTTCCCGCTGGCGCGCGGGGACGCGGGGCCAGCGCGACGGCGACGGCTGTGGCAGCGGCGGAGTCCGCACCCCCGTCCCGCCCTGCGCGCGTCTCTCGGCTGGCTCGGCTCCGCTCGCGCTGCGCCCGCCCCCGTCCTCTTCGTGGCTGGCGCCGCCGCTGCAGCTGCACATCCTCCGGCTTAGCTCGCCATTGCAACAGGAGCCCCTCACGTCACGCACGGCGCGTTATGAAGGGGCCCCGGCGGCGGAGCCTGGCCCCTCTCGGGATCCGTCCGCGCCGCCGGATTGGCGCAAAAGTGAATGGGGGGCGGTTCACGTGGCCAAAGTTTGACAAAAAAAAAAAAAAAAAAAGCCTCCCGGCGCGCGCGGCGCCCGCCCCGCCCCGCCCGCGCGGTTTGCGGCTGGGCTGCCGGGGCGGAGGGGGCGTGGGGCTGGGCTGGGCGCCGGCGGGGGCCCGAACCGCGGCGCCCTGCAGCCCGTTATCCGCCCGGCGACCACGCCCCCGTGGGTCCGCGCTCCGACTCCTGGCGGCGGCGCCCAGCACCGGCCCCGCACTGTCCCTTCCCGGGGACCGTGCCCGCCAGGCGGCCCCGTGCTGCAAGATGCGCTGCTAACGTGAACCTGAAGAGGGATTTTTGAAGAAGGGGCTTCTTGGTCCCCGAACTCTGCGCGAAGCGCTCGTTCCCTCTGCTGAAACTGTCCTCAGATAAACCCCACTCCCCACGCCCTGCCCTCCAGCCAGGCTGACCTGACCGTCTTCCTCTCCGCGTCTTCCCGATTCACACTGTACCTTTGTTCCCGCCGTTATGTGGGCAGGAGCGAGCGCATATAGAATAAACAGTTCAGGAGCCGTTTGAGACGTGCATGCTTGCAGAGTGAACCGTGAATTCACTTACCTTGTTCCCTGCCCCTAGTTTCTAAGTAAAAAAAAAAAAAAAGCCGTATTTAATGTCCAAGCTCCTAACAGTGCTAGCATTTAATGGATGTTGGAGAAATGGTAGGTGATGTTAATACTGTGCATGGTAAACACTACTTTTATTTACATTCTTTGTGGGCAGATAGTCAGTTAGTACCCCTAAGCTACCTGAATCTTTGTCAGTATTTTTACATAGCTCATCCATAAAAGTGCCGTGGATTTCTAAAGACAGGTTTTGAATGACGGATTCTCTAGGATGGAGTTATACATTTCCTCTTTAAAAAAAAAAAAAAAAAAACACTCAGCTAAAGCTGCAAAAGCTGAGAAAGTGTCCATACAACACATGTTTGTATAGAGTAAATATTAGTCTTGTTACTTAGTCGCCAATATGTTGGGGTTTTCTAATGAAACTCCTGGAGAGCAGAGTGTTTTCCTGGGCCTGACAGATTCCCTTCATTTCACCAAATGAACCCAGGAATTAGGAACAGAAAGTAAGCATGCTTGGGGTAATCCTTTGGATCTTTCCTTGTTGTTAATATGACCAAAGGTTTGCAGTATTACACAATTGAAAGTGGCAAGTTGTGGGAGATACAGATATGGTCTCTGCAATTGAATGGCGGTCACTGTTGTTTTATTCTTTGAATATTACCACATTCTTTGGCACTTATTATTTATGTCAAAAATAGTTCATTACCCACCTTCCCCACAGACTCCCTCCCTAAGAGGTGATCCACATCTAAAAATAAAATACTCATTATGCAGGGAACACAGGACTCCAGCAGTAGTCTTGGGAAAAATACAGAACATGTAACCATGAATTATAGACTCAAAACCATCCAAAGGGGTTTTCAGTAAGACCATAAGCCACAAATACCAAGTAGTCACCAGATGCCCCAAATTCAGCAACAGCCCCATAATTCACAATGATTTCCATAAAGCACGAATCTGGCAAGACACAGATGTTCAATTTGGTGACATACCTAATGAGTTCAATATTTTCTAACCTGCTTTAAACATCTCTATATTTCATCTTCTAAACTGAAATCCGATGAAAAGTACACAAACGTGAATGGGACTTAACGTTGTGAGAATGTGAAATGTTTTGTCCTCCTCAATTCCTTGGTTCCTAGTTGTCCCTGCGTCCCTAGATCCATATCCTCACCTGCCTCATCGGCAGACTCAGTGGGAGGGTCTCGTTCATGATTTAGAGGATTCCCTATTCCCCGTAAAGCCTCAGCCTGAAGGTTTAGAACAATCTGGACCAGGAGAATATGACATAGGTGAAGTCTCCCAGGAAAAGCAGGGGAATGCCAGTCCGGGGGATGGTGGGGGGGGAGGAGAGCCGAGGTCCTGTAGAAGTCAGCCCCGGGGCCGCAGGAGCCTCCATACTGGGGCAGGGGCCATTTCCCAAATGCAGCCTGGGGACAGGGAGGGGACGCTGTAACACAGCGGGAAGCAGCCACTGAATGGTCAAGCTGAGGCAGTTCCCCTGGGGAGGGATCTAAAGGTGTCCCACCCATCCAGGGCCCCTACTGAGGCCTGAATCAGGAGGCAGAGCTGTCCTAGGTGGGGATTTCATAGCCGGAGGCCAATGCCTGGAACCAAAGACTTCAGTGACAGCCAGAGGCCAAAGGGCCAAAGACGGTTAGTAAGTCCAGTATGGAGGCCTGCCTGTCTAGACATCAGCCCTATCGGCCCCCGCACAGCCATCACCAGCAAGGATCTAGAGAGGATGGCGTGCATCTGAGACTCCTGCCTCCCGATGCACCCTCCTCAAAACTGCCTCCAGACCAGGCAGCTCCGCACTCCCTGTCTCCTTCTCCCTAATTTATTTTTTATTTATTTTTTATTAATTTTATTTTATTATGTTAGTCACCATACATTACATCATCAGTTTTTGATGTAGTGTTCCATGATTCATTGTTTGCATATAACACCCAGTGTCCCTAATTTATTTTTAAAGGTGAGAAGTCAGGTTGATCAGATTTCATAGGCATTTCACCTCAGTAAACTGAGGAAAGAATTATTTCTCAATTTCACGGCACTAGGAGCCCTCTCTCTTAAGTTAAGGGACTCATTGACCATTTTTTCTCTTTTAAAAAAGGAGTGGTGTTGGCTAAGTCGATTTAACATCTGCCTTCCACTCAGGTCATGATCTCAGGGTCCTGGGATCGAGCCCTGTGAAGGGCTCCCTGCTTAGCAGGGAGTCTGCTTCTCCCTCTGCTCCTCCCCCCACTGATGCTCTCTCTCTCTCTCTCTCTCTCAAATAAATAAATAAAATCTTTAAAAAGAAAAATAAAAGGAGTGGTGTTAGCCACAATCGGAAAAAACGTAAGGGAAACCCCAAACTAGAAAGTTATTGAAGGATGAAGGCTTCTCACGGCACACACCCCACCTGAGATGGGGACCAGTGCTGGGTAGGTACAGAGTGGGGGTTCCAGCCTTCCTTCTACAGGAGGAAGTCCCACCGGGACAAGCTGTGCACGCACCCCCCCACCGGGGTCTCAGTGTTCTGGTGTCCCAGTGGGTCTTTCCACGGATCACGTTTTAAAAGTCCCTTCTCAGTGATTGTAGACTGACATTTAGAAATTTGTTCAAAAAACGCCACATTGTCTCTAACTTCCTTTCTGCTTTCATGCAGGGTGATTCTCTATGACACGTAATTAAAATTCATCTCCACCTATGTTCCTGAATACTTTCTCACAAATTGCAACACTGTCCCCACATGCATTACATTTTTTTCTGTTGCTAATACATTGAACGCCTGTAACAGGTATAACATTTCATATAATTTGCAGCAATTTCTTGGAAACCCTTGGTAAATACCTCAATTGTTTGTTGGCAGCAAGCCTTGAGCAACTGACAGAGTTCCCTGTAAGGGCTTCTTTAAAGACGCAGCCCCTGGACTCCTGCCGCAGACGGGGGGCCCCTGCAAAAAGCGGTAATCATTTTTTAAAACCTTTAGAAATACCTCTTTTGAGAAACAGCAAATGCAGCGGAGGGAGTTGTAATAATCCGTCTTTTCAGAAGGTTCTGTTCATTGCCTGCAAAGAAGAAAATCTATAATGACCATTTTACTAAGATTGCCACTTAACCTCTATTAACCCAATAAAACTTTGCTTTATTATTAATGCACTATTAAACGGGCATTTAAGGTCCTCATTAGCTAATTACTTTCTCTCAATATTTCCTTCTGTTTGCAGCATTTCCAGGCAGATGCAGGAAAGGGCAAGCGACTACGGCTTATGTTCTGGCTTCCAGACGGGAGTGGATCCGACACCGGTTTGTGCTAGAATGTTCTTCGTGCTTCCTTGGTCTGCTTATCAGCTTTGTCCATTCTTTCCGTCAGATACTGAGTCATTATGTGTGTGTTTGAGAGACAGAAGAAATTCGGCATGGCTCTGGGTGCTGGCCGGATGGGATGTAATCTTACCAACTAGAAAACATAGCCTGACGCCAGCACAGACGCTATTGAGAAACTGCCTGAATGTTCTCTGGGAGATAACCTCCCTGCAGAGGCCGGGGACAATTTGCTTGAGTCTAAGACTTAATCCTTGAATAGCAGACAAGTTTGCCTTTCCCATCCACTGCCAAGAAATGCCGTTAATCTTTAGAGCGGTACCGAGTTTCCACAGCTGGAAAGTTTGCACAAAGACAAAGCTTCCATTCCACAGGAGGGAGGGAGTGCCCCCCCCACACACACACACTATCAGAACCCAAGCACTGGTCACCTGGTCAGCAGCATCGCCACCTGAGGGCCACATACAGTGGTCAGGCCTGGGCGCCTTGTGGAAATGCTCCAGATCCACGTGCAGCTCGGGCTCT